CTTAATTATCGTCGCAGAAAATAAGGTTGAAATAGTACAAAGAGAACATTTATAAGAGAAGCACTCTTTTTTCAACAAGTAAAATTGTCGGAAATATGTTCAATGCGACAAGAACGTTTCCTCCGTACGTTATATTTGTATTTTTTTTTAACGAGAATGAAATAAATCAAATAATGAACTGTAGCCACATTAATTGTAATTAGTTGGAATATGACTTTTTTGGTTGTATAATAAATGCAGCAAAAAAATACACCGCTGAAAAAGTTCTTAATATTATAAGCGCAAACTGGAGATAAAATTGTCTTCCTTATGTAACTGCTTTGACAGAAAAGCAAATACTTCGAGAAACTTTTTTTAAGGTATTCCATATAATAAACCACAAAACATTGCTCTTTTACTTGGTTTCGTCGGGTTGCAATATTTCCTTCAAATTGAACCCGGAACAAACTTCGAACGAGAAACACTAAAACCGACACGCAATTACTGCTTCCCTTTTCAGAGGTCATTTAATGCTGTTAAATGAACTGCAAGAGAAGCAGATGCGTACCTCAGGAATGAAAGACGACGAAAATTCGAGATAATTGTTCCTACTAATTACTAATCGAGTCAATGGTCTATAAAGATTAATTTTACGACAATGTCCTTACATTCCAATGGAACTGTGAGAGTAGGAAAATTCTCCTTGAACTTGACATTATTCTCGTGATGTGTTAGGTTATCATTGGCGAAAAAAAACAGTCACAAAAACAAGACCTTGTGACATTCGTGTATCTTGTGGTCAATTAGAGGGCATCTACCAATTTATCAGCAATGAATAGCAAAATATCTTGGCCCACGTTGGAATTTATCGAACTAAAAGGAGAGCTTCAACGCCAAGACATTGCAACAGCAACTGCAATAATGATTTATTTTAGAAAACAGATTGGTGATAATTGTTCAGGATGGATAGCGAATCATCATACTACCAGACAGGCTGCACAATAGGTTAAAATACTAATTCAAAGATCCCAGATGTAAAACTACTTTTTTAATAAAAAAATAATAATAAAAAATAGTTTCGTAATGCACACTACTAAATTATAACCTGTTAAGAGATACGCGCACAGTACTTAAATAACGCTAAAGAAAGACGGATCGAACACGAAAGCATGTTAAATGCCGCCCGCACTGAATGTGCCGATCGGAAGACGTCCCGTGACGCGAAGGGCCATGTTCTCGCGCTGGGCCCGCCAGGCGAAGGGCGCACACAAGAGCGGCGCGATGAATGACGGGGCGCGAACGGCGGTGAAGAGGCGCGCAGTGAATGGCGAAGGGCCGCGTCCACCGCGGCTGATGAATGGGGGGAGGCGGAACGGGGGCACAGCGCCCAGCGGAATGGTTCGCGCCAGAACAAAGGGGCAAGGGCGCGCGAATGGAGCGCGAAAGGGGAAAGAGAGAGCGAGAGCGAGAGGGAGAGGGAGAGAGAGTGCGAGCGCAAGGCCAGCCGGGGAGCGAAAGGGAATGGCGGGCGCTCGTAAACGGGAGGGCGGGGCTGGACATGCGCACTCGCGCGTAACTCGCGACACGCGGCGAGAGGCGGGGCGGGGAGAGGGGAGGAGTGGGCGTGTTGCGGGGCGGCGGCGGCTGCCGCAGGGCGAAGGCGCGCCCCGCAGAAGGCCTAGTCAGCGCGCTGGCGGCGCCGCGCTTGTCGTATTGATATCCCTCCGCCCGACGTCCGACGGCTGGTCTGGATCCCGCGCCCTCCTGCCGCCGCCGTCGACCCGCCCGCGATCGCTATCGCGTTGCACGATTGACGTTCCCCAGGCTGCACGACGTGTCCGCCCTCCGCGCAGCTTCCTCTTTGTTTCGGCGTCTTTGTCCTCCCAGAAGGCGCAGGTTTCCCGGGGCGCGCCTCCCAGCGGCCAGGTTCGCAGACGTTCACGCACTATTTTCGCTGCACGGGTCATGTTGGGTTTGTTCGGAATGAGCCCACCATCTCTACTTCCAGACTACATTACGCAACGAGTTACAGGCACACAATTCACCCAGGCGGATGATCGCCAGACAGTCAGCGCTAAATCCCATTTCGGTAGTTTTCCCTGAACGAGTTAATAAGATCAGATTGCATATTGATTCCTGGGCCGAACTACGCTAATCCCATTCATTAGTTTTAGAGGATAAGATCGCAGCTCCAATAAACAGAAGTTCGTTCCTTCGTTCGCCTCCTTGATCAACGAAAGTAAATCTGCTTTCGGTGGAAGGGTCTCACACCAATCATACGGTATTTCCCAATGGAGAAACTTTTATCTGACATCTTAGCCTTTGTTTCCAAGAACATGGATCGAGCGTCAACCATATTCTGCATCCAAGTGCATTTTTCATTTGATGTTCCCCGCGTTCTCCAATAAATGATTACTTTCTTTAATGCTGAGGCGTTTCTATTGAAATCACCAGGCATTGCCAGCAGCTCTGAAAGTTGCAGCAGTAAAATTTCGAGAGGTTGTAGGTTAGTACCACACACAATGTCATATTTATTTTAATGAGTCAATAGCATCTCCTGTACCAATGTTTTAACTATAACTTACATTTGTATCACCTTTATATCAAATTTCTCTGGTGGACAATGCAAGGAAATTAATGTTAGATGTTCAAATGTAACTTACAGATCTCAATCACGGAACGATAACTCATTATGCTCAAGGTTGAAACCCTCTTTAGCAAGTTAGCATCATTTGGCAATAACCTAATTTTATGTGGTACATATTCTACCTTACTCTTAGTTACTCAAATGCAAACAATACATTTTGAAAGCGAAGGTAGAAGTTCCTCATTCCCACCCCTCTTTTGTAAGTTTTGTAACAATGATTTAATTATTGGTTACTATGATTATTTTGATGGTTTTTATTATGGTTAGCTTGTGACTATCCATGGTGCGACCAGGGCCGGACACACACATACATACACATCCACACACATTCACATACACACACATTCGCATACACATACATTCACATACACATACATACATACACATACACATACATACACATACACATACATACACATACACATACATACACATACATTCACATACACATACATTCACATACACATACATTCACATACACATACATTCACATACACATACACATACATTCACATACACATACTACTGCTGCAGTATGTAATGTTTCCTAAAAGTGACTCTTTGACGAAATACATTCAATTTCTTGCATTTTATATGTGCAATAGAATTCTTACATGCATACGTTTTCTGTACAAATACATTCATATAATGGTTAGTGTCGTACCATTTTTGCTCCCAGTTTTCTTCCTGGGGTACTTCTGAACGAAATTGCCAAATCTCACACCAGGCTCATTTTGGGATTTAGTTTCCTCGCACTTCTTCAAGGTCTCAGTTGCTTGAGAACTAGGAAGCGACCTTAACGTGTTCGGGCACCAAAATTCTAGTCAATTAGTATATTTAGTATTCCCCCTTTACCGCGTTTCAACGCGGGCATGTTTAAGATGCACATTCACAAAGATGCGAGAGCGTTAAACTCCAAGTAGGTAGAAGGAATTTAGCTTTTTGAGCTAACATCGTTTCATTAAGATCCACTTGAACCGAATTGGAACATCCATTGAACGCATTCGAAGTGTTAAGTACTTTGTCGCGAGGGCCACAAAGGGAGTGCTGACGCGCCCCCAAGTGACATCGTTTTTATCGGGACCCAGATAAAAGTCATCTTTCCAAAGATTCAGAGCACATTACCTTTAAAACAAGTGTTCCTTCGGGGAATCCAAGCTCGCAGCACATCACGCCACGACTCTATCGATCTGGATTCCCTTCATTATTTGGCTCCACGTTTAACTTCGCAAACGCTGTAGCTTACGTGCTGACGTGGTATCTTCCGTCCCTCGGGGAATTCTTACCATTAGTCGCCCTTCTCAGAACCCTACTGTTCTTGACAACAAGAGACTTTTGCATCTTTAACAGAGAACGAGAACGTTTGGAACTAAAAAAATATATTTGCCGAGCGAATGAAGTGGTGTGCGATTCGTGACTGTTTGGAAAATTTGAGAAACCTAATTAAATATTCAATAATGCCACAGTAGCTTGGATTTCATACGATGTAATCTGTTATTCAAGCTGTTACATGCAAATTCGTTGTTACAGAAACAAATCATGGCTCACAAAACATATTTTTAACCTAACCTATGCACTTAAAGACGCGTTTCGTAAGTAAACATGTATTCAAAATCCTCTGCTCATTTGAACGTTCAAAGATCAGACGTCTCCAAACGTCTGCAATTATACGAATTATGTGAACTCTTGAGAGACTGCGGCCACTACGAGTTAACGGACGCGCGTGTTTATGCACTTTTGCTGTCGCCTCTTTGTTGCGGATCGGAATGGATCGGATCAGATCGGATCGACGCGGGGCGGGGCGGGGCGGGGCGGGGCGCCGATGGCTAGCGACTTGCGCAAATTATTTTCGTAATGTAATGAGACATCAGGATGCTTGCAATGAAATAAGTAGAACAGTAGTTACAAATATTCAACAAAAAACATAGATTAATTGATTAATTATTTAAACGACCGTTGTTCAAATCAAGGAATACGTAGTCCTACTATGTAGGCTCCATGAAAGGCGAATAGTATGTCGACTGAGTCAAAACATTTTAACAACATAAATCTTTCAGCATTAGGGATTCAAAGCATTGCATGATTTAGTGCCTTGCCATTACAGTGCTTTAAAATGAAGGAAAATGAGCTCTTCTGCTAAATTGCGTTATACGATAATACATATTGGGACGAAGTGTGAGGATGAACGAAATGTGAAGTATAACACTTTAGCTTATGTATTTATTATAATATTTTAAAATAAAAGTAAAATTATTACAAGCGAGGGGGGATGAACTGAGAGTTTTTTTCGTCTGTAAAAATGTTTGGAAGCAACTTTTTGTTTGGATTCTGTCCATAAACTCAAAAATTATAACGTATTCACTTCAAGACTTACCTTTATCTGATACGAATTCAGCTTGTGACGTGGCAATGAATTGAATGAGCTGAAATCTTGCCGTCGAGAAAAAATTCCACTCCCACCGCTCCCATGCCTATAAAAGAAGATTTTAATTAACTGCTTGTACACTTGTGAATCAAGAAACAACAAGATGTGAAAAGCAAAATATACAAATGCTCACAAAAGCTTAATACGCTATGTATTTCATAATTATTTTGTGAACTAAGAAAAACAATGCTGACAGCTTTATCCTGGAAGCACTAATGTTTTCAATATTAATTTTACAGTGCCAATTTGAAATGCTTACCTTCACTGAAAAATGTAATTATTTAGGTCTACTGACGTCAAGGAAAATGTATATTTACATTGGAAGGGAAGGCTGAAATATTTGTAGTGTGTGTTTCAATACAACTGAATAATTTCATTCGGCCAGAATATGCATTACGAGAATGACTGTACAAAGCAGTAGCACTGCTAGTTACACATGGCAGTAATTGTATAGTTTTTTGTTGCTTTTTTTCAAATAAAAGAAAAGTAACAATCATATCTGCAGTACGCAACAATCTTCTGATTTTTGGACAATGACCTTTTGTTATGGTTATTAACTCAGTTTGTATGTTTTGTAACGTCTAAAAACTGTAAAAGAAAATATATTTTCAGCACTCAAGCATGGAAACTTTCTTACCTTCACAGTTTATCTATTGGAAAGTATTGCTTTACGGTACGTGTACGGCAAAATGGCCTTTGCTATGAATTCCGCAAAGAAGTCCTAGCCAGAACAACTGAATAAAAAGTAAACAAAACATAAGGACGGAATCAACATGGCAGTCGCCTCACGTATTGCGAACGATCTGAAGAGCATATACTAGAAACTTTCCGTGTATTCATACTAAAAACTAGTCGCCCCTCATCCGAAAGTTGTTTTGGCGTACTTATTTTAAAACGCCGGAATCTGGTATCGTCTCCTCATCCGTAGCATTTCATTCGTACACCACCCTCACTTTCTGTAATACGCACGTAAATAACTATAAGAAGAAGAGACAAGTTTGTTGTCACGAAGTACAACAGTGTAATAATACTCCGTACGTCAGTAATATTATCGCGAGTGAGACACGAGAGAAATGTTTGAATTCCTCGACCTACTCGTATAAATAGACCGAGTGGGCAACCATTCAACAAAGCTTCAACTAAATAGTCTGTGAAGGCTTGCTTGGACTGCCAGGCCATTCAGCGCGTTCTATCCTACTTAAGCACTTCATTGGCCTCGCTGACCAATCAGAAAGTAATCACTTCCCTGGAACACAACCCGCTTGCACTTCAATTGCGGCATGCTAGTAATGATTCTCCTCGCCAACGTAATGAAACATGCCAAGGAAGAATAAAGATATCAACTGTGATTTAAAATCTCTAACTACATTATCTATCAGAACTTTTCCGCAGGAATGACCAAAGGACTAGGAAACTACACCGAAACACGACTTCAATACTTCTTCCTCAACGTCATTACATTTATTTCATTTCTAATAAACATTTTTAAACTACGTTACGTTATGTTAGGTGGGGTAGAAAAAATATTCGTAAATGAAAGCACTTAACTACATGCGCTTGAGGGTTTTTCTTCGTTAGAGGATTATGAAATGCGAGTTATTAACTCAAGCTCAGTTGGTTTTGTTTTCCCTGAAAATATCCATGTGTTTTCAGCTTCCTGCGAAATACCGGAATTTTAATCCGAAATTAGCTAGGTCTTGTTAGTATCATAATAACCACACATGTTGTCCTTTTTTGTTTGCTAACGACCAAATGCAAAAACCCATACGGACGACAGTCTAGTTGAGAGCAGAGACAAAAACATGTATGTAAAACAATCCGTACTCCAATGTCTGATAACAAGAGAATGACCCGTATTATCACAGGATGAACTCGCCGCTGGAAATAACTTCTCTGCATCAGCAAAGCTACTGACAGGGCAAAAAACCAATTTGCTCTTACTTCTTCCACGGTGAATTTCCATCGTAACGGGTCATTGAACCTACAAGAACATTCCACAAATACTCCTTATGTTGCCAATCTTGTTGAAGCAACATCAAACGTTTTAAATCATATATATTCTATACTATTTTCAGAATCTAGAAAATTAATCCTGCATCAACCGAACTACAATTAAGCGCAAATAATAGATTAACATAAGATATTCACGAGTAATTTCTACTTCACTGGCGAACTACAAATATAACGCACGCAGTGGAAAAGCGTCAAAACTAGTGCATCTCATAGCGCACATTTTTAGGAGCTCCAAAAATACTTCAGGTTGTTGCTCCGCCCATTCGCAAGTTACGGGTACTTCCCCAGTTGAGAAGAGATAAACGTCCACAATTCGAAGCACTGCCTTTCAGTACGCATTCTGGTATGTTATATATTATTTGAGAAACGTAAAGATAGAATAAGAGATGTATTTAAAAATACAGAACAAAAAACTAGAATATGGACATTTAAGTACGAATTTTTATATGGAAAAATTATTAAATATGAAAAACTATTCATAAAAAAATCTTTGATAAACAATACGCTATGTGAAATATATATATTTTAGAAGTTAGTTTTATTACCAATAGACAATGTTATACACACACACACATTGCGCCTCTTCTCGTACAGAGCCTGAAGTGCAACATGAAGTGAACTATAATGCAAATCTACACTAATTCCTTTTAGTTAGAGGCATCGCGAGAATGCATTACAATGACAAATGCATAAGAGTCGTTCAAAAAACTGTGCCAGACTCACAGGTTTAGACTCAGTTTTACGTTCTACATATCCCTTTAAAATACCAAAAGGGACTCGCGATTTGCCACAGGAAGCTGCCCCTCGCCTGGGGCATAACTCAATGCAAATGCTTTTGTTTACTTCCGACCGACATTGGACTGAAACACACTGTTGTCCAACGTGAAAAATTACGATGAGAGTTCGTTGATCTATAGCTGGGTAAAAATATATTGACCCACATAAACTGCATTTCCAGGTAAACTTCTAATCAGTGCGTAGACATGTGCGAGATACGATCATCAATCGACTGAGCGACCACAAGGTTGTTTTGTCTGCGCCAAAAAGCCCATTTCAATATTAATCGCACAATATTTAACAAAGGAATGTCTAGGAAATTCACTCCACCTGAATGCGAGTGTTTCAAAGCGTACTCAGGGCGCGATAAAGATAACGAGCCCCTCAACTACGCACTTTAAGCGACCAGGTGCCACGCACGCCTGTTGAAGGCGTCGGCTCGCTGCGCGGCGTCGGGCCTGGTCTGGTGGGTGTGGCCGCCACGGCGCGTCGCGTCGCGCCGCGCCGCGCTGGGCTCCCGGGCCAAGTTTTCAGCGTCGGCGTCGCGTTGGCGGGCGTCGCCTGCCCCGACGCCCGCTGCGCTCCCCCTCCCTCTGCCGCCGCGACCGACGCGTTTGCTTCTGCCTCCCGCGCTCCCACCAGGCCCCGCGCTGGTGCCGAGCCGTGCCGCGCCGCGCCGCCTCGCTCCCCCCTCCACTCGCGCTGCACCCGCTCTCCGCTCTTCAACCTTCACCTTGGGAGTCCCGAAATAGCTCTGCGCCCGCGTATGACGCGACCCGCAAGCCGCTTTGGAGTAAGGCGATACCCGCCGATAACATGCCCTGTGTCACGGAAAGTGGCTTGATGCGAACGGATGCATTAATTCAGTAAACAACTCCTCCCTCTCCTCCTCCTCCTCCTCCTCCGACCGCTCGGCGAGGCTGGGGGAGTGGCTGGATGGAGGTCACCCGCAAATCGTGCCATTTGCCATTTCTCCTTGTGCGAGTGAGAGGCGCTGATAGGAAAATTACTGTTTTCGCGCGCACTTAGCGCGGTTATGTCAGATACTTCACGCGACGGTTGAACGACATGAATGCTATTCTTTGTAACACGAACAGTGGTCACGTAACTTTAACAGCGATGTGTGTGTGTGTGCTTATGTGCGGAGCGTCGTTGCGAGAAAACCGCACTTCGCACCAACCTGGTGAATGCACACTACGTGCGAGACGACCCATCTCGGAGGCTTCTTTTTACGAGAAACTCGGCGTCCCTGAGTGGCTGAATGCCTTGAGGATTACAGTCGAAACATAATTCTTTCACGAAACCATTAGGTGCAAATGTCTAAATGCCAGGGTTAGAGGTTTTCGACGGCGCATTAGTTAGTAAACACCGCTTCGTAACTACAATATTCTGGCTGAGATTACACAATGCATATCTCGTAACATTCCTTAACTTGGGCTTCAAATAGCTTGCTATTATAACAGAATGTCCGCATTTTTTAGTAGTAAACAAACTTTTTTTTTCTGAGTGAAGCTTTATTTAATTAGAACGGTGAATGTTGTAGAATGAAATTAAGAACTCGTTACAATTATTACTATTCACAACTGTCTAAAACCGACGAAAAGAGTTTTAACTTGTTTGACGTATTGACAAAGGTGATTAAAAAAGCAACAGAAAATTTACAATTTTGCACGAACCGAAAACAGTCGAGACATATTTTCTTTCCGCGAGGAAAAGGTACAATGCTGAGAGAGAATGTGTTGACATATGCGCATAGATGACATCTCTTATGCAATCCAAATATAATGAAAATAAAATGGTGGTAACTTTAACCGACAATAGCGTACAAGTGCAGCTTATGTGAACAGAAAGTGAAATCGGAGATATTCATAGAAGATTCAGCGAAGGTGAGAGCTCCATTAGGGGAAGAGTATTCGGGGGTTGATGCCTTCAAAAAGGGATGGACGCCAATATTGACGAGTTCTCTGGTCGTCGCAGTTGTCGTCTCAACCCTCCGCCAGTTTTTTTAAATTTTATTTTATTTTATTTTATTATTTTTTTCTTAAAATTTAAGGTCGCATTAACATCAAGGTCATTAGGGACCATATCCAGTATTGTCCTTTTCACTCTCTTCATATTAATGGACCTTCTTTTATGTACCATAAGAAAAGGTGTAACACTATAAATAGCCCCCCGTTGCAGCGAAATGTTGAAATTAGCAATAAGAGACCTTCGCAGAGGACTTTTGTCAAGAGGCATTCTTTTCTGTGAAGTCAG